TTTTACAATTTTGAAAGATCAGTGTGTTTGGAGCCACCAAATATTGTTTCCATGTGATATCACTAGCCAACTAATATAGTAAAGTGTTTTGACTGTTCAGGTACTTCATTTCCAGCATTCCGTGACTTTATTGAGGTTGTGTAGTTGCAACAGCAGCAATAGCAGCATTAGAAGGAGAGGTGATTTATCTGTTCTCCTGGTGATGGACATGCTTGACAGGATAGTCTGCAACAGATTTTGACGGAACACCATGATACATGTGACAGCATTCACATACTTATTGTGAAGGAGTCAAACAGAGCAAATGCGTCCAGATTCGCCTTGTTGCACTTTGTGGAGACTGACCATTTCCAAACATCAGTAAACCAGCCTGACAAGCGTTTCACAACACCAACTCAAAAGTAACAGAATGTTACTCGAGATTGCCCAGCCTCATGTGCTCCGTGATGGTCTGATTCGCCATTATTAGCTCGAGTATCGAGCTTGCCATCCCGAACATTTTAGGATCATCGTCGCAAAGAAAACTCGCATCATTTCGTGCTGTTTTAGCAGGTCTGGCGTGACACTCAGGAAACAGTTCTGCCACTCGCGCAAGGGCGCCCAGCGACCTTGCAAGCGGCGTACCCTCAGAAATCCACCTGGTTGTCCTTGCCTGGAGCTGTAGCAGCTATCGCTGAGGCAGACTGTGGTTGGCCTTGATCATACTCATCCAGGCCAAGTCCTCATCATCGTCGCCCCCGACAGGTAAGTACCGCGTGTCACTTGCGATCGATTCGCCTGACATGCGCTCTCAGAACTAGAAGCGCTGTCGCCGCTTGACAGGAAATCCACAAAGAACGATGCATCACCGTCCATGTGATCGCGGCTGCTGTGCTCCGTGAGCCCAATAACCAACTGACACAAGAATCGCCTTCAATTTTATTCCGCCATTGTCGTCTCTGCACTTTGCTTTGACGGAATCGATTTTTTTGCGAACAAATTTGTTTTTAGTGTTTTCTCAAAAAAACCGCGTAGCCCCGAAGGTCGAAAGTCTCAGATATCGGGCCATATGTTGCCGCAGTGAGGCCATGAAGCGTTACATTGGCACATGTTTGCCGCACGCAGGGCGTTACATGCAAAGTCGCACAGGAGCCGTTACACAGGTTTCTATATTGCCGCAGTCCTTTTTTTGCTATTGCCGCATCACTTTTTTGCTATTGCCGCATCATTTTTTTGCTTTTGCCGCATCATTTTTTCTTTTCATCCACATTGAAGGCACAGAAATTCAGTTGCTATCCAACTGTTACAAACCCGACGGCAAAGGGCGACAACGATATCAATAGAAGACTGTATATTTTAACTATCAGAGTGATCTGTTCACAAAAAGATCATCAAAAAGAAAGTGACATTGGGGAAGAGCGCTTCCTCCAAAAACTACTGGCACTCACAGTGTACAACATATGTATAGATTATAGACCGGTTAGGAGGTCTATACAGGATATATAGACCGAGTAAAAGACCGAGGTCCCCCGAGGTCTTTTACGAGGTCTATATATCCTGTATAGACCAACTATGAGGTCTATAATCTATTTATCGTGTTCTCCACGCAATAGTTTCTCTTCATATACGACATATCCTTGTAATTCTAGTATTATACTATAGCCTATACCGCATTGTACTGCATTGAAAGTCAAGATCATTGTTTAAACTAGGTTCAGCATCGGTAGCACAGTGGCTGGGTGGTAAGGAAGAGTGACTGAGATTCACAAGGTTGTGGGTTCTAATCCCATCTTGTGTATTTCTGCTTTCTTCAAAAATTTCTTTTTCTAAGTTGGAGAGAAAATTTCTAAGTCCAAGAAGTTCTAAGGAGTCAAATATAAGTAGTCAAATATATCGCGTATTTGACTAAGCAGTCAAATACGCGATATATTTGACCGCTTAGGTATCAGGGAAATTAGTGGGGTCAAATACTAAGAAGGCGATAATACAACATATTACAACATATTACAACATAATACTCATATTACTCTTCTTCGCAAAACGACCTCGGGAAAGAAGAAACCATTGAGATCGCCAACCACTGAATGATGCGCCTTTGAGTGTCAGGACTTCCTGCTGCGTCCAGTTTTGAACTTTTCACCACGCGGTACACGTGCTTTCACAGTTTTCAGCCTTTTTTTTGCAGTGCAAACTGCAATGAAAAGATCGCCGCACCCCGCCGGACGAGCGTTACGAACTTGACGAAAATTTGTCGCATTAGCCTGGGTGCGCGTTACGCCGCACCCCCCCCCCCCCTGCGTTACGCGTTACGCGGCAACATATATTGCCAGTACGGTAGTAGTAGTATTCTTTTATTTATAGTGGAGAAACCAAAACAGGCAGATGCCTATTAGAGGTCTAGCCAGGATTTTATGCCAGCCTGCCAACGTTCTAGTGAAAATGCATCGTCCTGGGGGCTGTGCCAGTCCTGCGCCGGTCGTTCTGTTTCCAGGATTATTCAGATAGTGGGCTTGGTGACATGATTGAAAGAAAAATGATCCAGAACACAGCATGCTACAAATACTTGTACTTGTAGAAACTGAAAATTGAAAATTTCTCTAAATCTCAATCGTTTGCCAGCCGGCCAAAATAACCCTTGGAGCTGTCTCAGCCGGCAGGTCGCCCTCCCAGCCGGCATTCTGCCGGCTGAGCCGGCTTTGGCTAGGTCACTGCCTAATAACAACGGACCCACAGGGACATATTTTCGGCACAGTAAAAAAAATAATAATAATAAATTATAGTGTCCGTTCCCAAAGGGAACTAACGACGGTCGCTAACACCCGGTAAACCCTAGCGGCAGATGCAGATTTCGGCACAGGGTTACCACTATACTAGTACATCACCAAAGCCGATGTTAAAATTTTCATCGGCGCTTTAATTTCGGCGATATGGATCGATGCCGAATAAAGCCGAAACGAGAGAGCTTGGAAGCTCAGGGCCATACGGTATGCTTTTTTGCCTCGGTGACCTAGACAAGAAAAAGCATAGGGATGTTATAAATTCTTTTAAAAGAAATTCCAGCTGTGTTTGATGGTACGGTACGGGACAGATACGGGATAACGCCAGGCGTGACACAAACACACAAACAAACAAACAAACACACAAATACCAAATTAAAGCTGTGTGGACCCTGGCTAGCGCCAGACGTTACTGAAGTAACGTCTTCTGCATAGCTACGGGAATTAAAGGGGAAGTTAGGCCTAAATTCAAATAATCTCCAGTTGTTGTAGTTGCTGTAGTCTTCGGGGTGCCGAGTCGAATGGTCTTGGTCCGAGGCAGCTGAGACCCTTCCTTCCTCCTTATTCGCAATCGAACTCGCCGCTTCCACCGAAACTAGGTGACTGCACCCTACTAGATGGGGATTTGTATGCAAAATGTCACTAAAAGCACCATTTCGTCCTTATAAAAGCACGGATGACCGCGTTTGGCGCATATGTTGTGTAGTCTTTTTGGGTGCTGAGTCGACTGGTTTTGGCCCGAGAAGGCTGCGATA